CATAATTTTTCGGTTTTTCTTGCCTTCCCAGAAAATAAATTTTTATGAAATTCATATTTTTGACAGCTTATTTAATATGGTTATGAAAATAAAGCTGCAACGATCCCAAATTTTCATTATCCCACCATGAAATAATTGTAATTTTTATCAAACAGAATTCTTTTCAGCAGCTGCGCAAGATTTGAATGAAGGCTGTGTTGTTCAGTGCATTCATATCGGGTCAATATAGTCTCGAGATTAAGCAAGAGAGTGCACAAATCGCCACTTGTCTCTGCAATTTTCATGTGGTCAAGTGTGACCAGCGCGCCATCGAGAGTGTCTCTAAATTAGCAAATTCACGATGGTATGGTAATTCTTTCTGCACTGTGCCACTCAATTAATCCCACATCCAGCACAATTTGCGCTTGTGCTAATTTCTGCACGGCAAAATTGACCGCGTTTCATGAAATCCGTCCTCTTCTATGAATGATAAATTATCAGCTCGCAAATGAGGCGATCGCACTATTTGAAACACTTGCATCGGAAATGAGGTTTAGCATCTTCTCGGTTGTCTTTTTTCTTCCCAGACTGATATCGTTTGCCCCGCGGCTCCAGTGATAAGGCGCGATGATGTTGACGAGGTTATCCACCAGGGTTGCTCTGCGTCGTGTTGAGAATTTGCCATTTGTCCGCGCAATTGGCGTTGTTAATTAAATCTTCACGGGCATGAATTCATGTGTGGCTTCCAAAATTTAATTTTATTTAATTATTATGATGTGCCACAGAGGCGAAAGCTCATCGCTCTGTGTCCATGTGCATTTTAGCGTGTGCGCTTTTGTGATTAGGTGGGCTTTTCGCGCGCGCACACGTCCCGGTGCGATCGCTTAACTTGTGTAATGGGGCAATATAATGAGGAAAATGGGGCTATGTATCACCCTCAATGACGCTGTAGGTCATCTTTGCGAATGCGCGCGCGATATAAGAGAGAAACAATTGATTTATTGGCCGGAAAAGTTCTAATTCTCCACGGCGATGAAGAATGTTCGAATCAAATGACTGCCACTCGGCGCTGTGTTCTCTCTTAAGATCTCCACCATCCACTTCTTCGCTAAATTACTTCTATTTATAACTCCCTCGCGGCATATTGAATTCATTGCTACTTGAAATGTTGTTCTCCAGGGGAGGATTTTCACGATCCATCGATGTTAGAGAACGAAAAAAAACACTCGATCCTTTGCCATGCATAAAGTGGAAACAATATTTTTCTCTCATTCTTCTCAAATTTCCAGAGAAACAAATAATTCTCTCACTAAAGTGGATGTCTGGAGCTGTGACAAGACAAATTTATTTACAAACATCCACTAATTTGACACGGTGAGACCCGCGTGAGCGACTCTTGTTTGTTGGGGAAAAATCAAGGGAAAAGCCCAGAAAAGTCCAACAGTCATTGGCATATCAATCAAGCGCGTCACCGAGTAGTTTCTCATCGTGAAATGGGAGGCACGCTCTCCAAATGAAATATTTCCTCCAGATTTCACTCCTAATCTAATCTGGTGACTGAACTATTTTTAGTGTGACATGGAAAAGGGAATATTCTGCATGGTGAGTCATGAGAAAGTGTGTCTTTCTGGCGGAAATTCTTACGATGAAAACACTGACAAAAATTCAGTCTCTTCACACCTTTTTTTCTCTCTCGGGATGATATGAAGGTTAGGAAATTGCACAGCAAATTTTTGGGGAGATTTGTTTACACAGAATCTTTACAAGTTATATAATATATAAACCTCCCATTGAGCTGATGTGTGTCGGGTGTTTTTTTTCTGTGCGATGGCCAGAGTTAATCCATGAGCAATTTTAAATGACGACCACTGACGAATGACGCTAAACAACAGGTAACTTTATTACAAGATCATTATATAGTGAGCAATCGTGTGACTTTTTTATCACACACTCATGCTACATTATAATCTATACTATAGAGTTGGGAGTTTTCTGATCAGCTGTGAAGGTTTTCCTCTCGTCGCGGGAAAAACCGTAAAATTACATGCGATACTCAAATTGTATAGATCACAAATATTGATCAAGATCACGTTCAATGATCGAGAAAATTAAACACACTCTTATTGACGATTAAAGTGCCGATGAAATTGATCAAAGTCCTCTTTGTGTATTTTGTATCCATGAGATTGGAGAGTGATTAAAAATTGCAAATTCTTCGGACGGACAACATCACAGGCCAGCGATTTTCCAAGTCATATGTTTTGGATTTCTCAAGAAACTTCACAATCGGCGGCTATTTTTACATAGCGATAACCTCCCAAAGCGAGCGAAATCATCATTTCAGTGTTGATAAACTAAATCCATGACTGATAAGTTTGCTATAAGATTGTCTTGACTAAACAATTAAGGCATTTTGTCGTGAGTACATAAGATCGATTTTCGCGTCCTCCTCGATGATGATTACATGCGTGTGTAAATCATCATGAAAATATAATTGGTTCATTGAGAAAATCCCGCCGGCTAACAAAATTTATGAGGCGCGGAGTTTTGGCGCTCGTGAGAGGCAAAGTTCAAGTTCACAAGCACACAAAAAAAGTGATAAGACGCAACCCTAAAACACTTCCTCTTCACTCGGTTTTCGGATTATGTCGCACACAAGCAGCTCTTGTTTCTCGACTTAGCTGGAAAAATGCACTGATCTGTTAACGAGAATCCCATGTGGAGGCCAAATTGGGGCTTCTGGGCCAAATTTGTCGCACGAGATGAGAAGAGAGCGCAAAAAAGCGCGGGGGAAAATCCGTGGCGCTGATTGTCTTCGCAAGCAATCCAACCTTGAAATCGCGTGTAAGTCTGGCGAGACCCCATCATTTTGAATAACAGATATTACCATTGAGAAATGTTCCTTCGTCTGCAATTTAATCGTACACAATACGTCATAAAATTATATAAGATGCCACGAGGTCTGCAGCACGATAAATAACCAAATACGTCGAAATTACTTGTGTTATTTATTGCACATGGCAAAATTGCCAGTCGCGTGAGATCTCGATTGAGATTTTTTGGGAGATTTTCCTGAGAAATTACTAATTACAATTTATGATAATCGTCAGGCCTTGAGCGTCTCTGCACGCGTGCATGAACACTGCGGGAAATATGAGGAAGACTCTGATTTCTAACAGTGTAGTCTTGGGGAAAAGTGATAAAAGAGTTTCACTTTCGTCTTAGATTTGACCGAAAGTGCACGCATTGTCTGGATTATTTAATTCCGAACGCTCTGAGGAAGCGTTTATCGCGTGATCGGGCATTTTACTGGCATTTGCATTGCCTCAAGCACTCCCATAAACAAATATTTGTCCCAACCAATGCCCAAGGGGGAGATAACAGAGTCAGAAATGTTCAAAAGCTTACGATCTCTCTTTCCTGTGTGCTTATTTTACTGACAAATTGTGTCAATTCTTTGGATCGTCTTCGATTTTCACGCCAAATCAATCATAAAGATCTTTTACTAGGTTATGTAACAAATTACAAATCAATTCTTATGCTAAAATCGCCAAGATTGCTTGTCATTGGCAGAATTAAGAATTTACATGCAATAAACATCATTATTCCGAACATTTGATGCCCAAGAAACACTGCAAATTGTATTGAACTCGAATATAACCTCAAAAATAGTCATTTGAACTTGGAAAATGTTCATTTAGGAAACTTTTTGAACCATTTTGACTCTAAATCAGCAGTTCTACGTTCATTGGCAACTCACAAGAGATGATTTAGTGATCTAGAAAGCTTCGAAACGTAGTTTTTGAAGATCTCTGAGTTATATTTTAAGGTTATGGTCGGAAAAGATGTCCAAAAACGACGTTTTTAAGTCGATTCTTACAGAAATATCTTATGGAATCTTAAAATATTCATGATAATGTGGGAATTAATGTGGAAACAATCTAAAAACTTCCAGTTATAGAAGTGTCAGGCATTATTATCTCCCCCTTACTAATGGCCATCGTCAATAGGGAAAAATCCAATGTGCAATGAAAATTCTCACTGGGCACAACATGTGCTCACAATTAGATGTTTACTATGGAGAAGTGTAAATAAAATATTTTTATAGCAAATGAATTGCCTTGTGGTTCTGTTTTCTCGCCACTGAGAATGTGCATTTGGGAAAATTGACGTGAGACCCGCGAGATTCTCTCTCTTTGAAGGCTCAGCGAGAGTCATTAAAGTTCAAGTACATTTCACAGACACTCGGGATTTCTACTATGGAGAAAGATTGGTATCTCAACTTGGTCACCCTCTTGAGAAGCGATTGCATTCATAACAATATAAAAATCTACGATAGTTTTATTGCGCAAATTCATTTTCCTCCCATCGTAAGATGTTTATGGCTATTCAATTGACACAATTCGGTTTTATGAAGATGATTTCCTATCCAGCCAAAATGTGTGGAATCGCAGAGAGATGAAAAAAAAACCAGTTGGAGACGCGAATTTGTAAAAGTTCACAGAAAGTGACAGAGACTTTGGGAATAAAAACTAATGTTGAGCGATTAATAATATCACCTGAGCAAATACACGAGCTTGGCAAATGAAATGGAAAATAGGTGGAGATTTATGTGTACAGATCGCGCGGAGATAGAGACAAAACCAGAATATATGACTGCGAAAAAAGGCACTGAAATATAACCCAGATTAAATTATCATCTTAATCAGCGATGCGGTTTAATGGTATGAAATAATGTCGAGAGTTTACAAAGTGATTCCACAATGTTTCAGTGACTCGAAAGTTCTATATTCTCATCCTGAAATCTCTATTCTAATCCACATCTTAATTCCCCCAATTTGAATTTGAATTTGCGCGGCACGAGGCGAAAGAGCGTGACAAAAAGCATTGATCTCTCCCACTAATTTCCATCAATTTTCAACGCTTATTGACCTTGTCTTGCCAATCAACCTCTCGCTGCAATTCGCTTCTTCACGCTCAGTTGGAGGTCTCACCGGGTCTATTTCCTTATCTCTTTCCAGAGCCCCTCAAGATGCTGCTCCAGGCAGGACTGTTCCTGCTCCTCCTCGCCACATCATCTGCGACTCCCTCGTGTCCCGCCGACTGCATTTGCACCCCAGCCAGCGATTCGGGCGACAGATTCAGCCACGTGAGATGCCACAGTGCCGATGGCATCGCCGAAGTGGGACCCATTGCCGTGGGCAGCCTGGATCTGTCCAATGCGGGCATCGTGAGACTCACGAATCAGCTGGAGAATCTGCAAAATCTGACGCACTTGGACTTGTCCAATAACAGACTGTCCGAGGCGAATCGACTCACGAAGCGCATTCTTGTGCTCAATCTCAGCTTCAATCGCATCACATCCGGGAAACTGGGGAAGCTCCCGGTGCGCGTGCAAGTGCTCAATCTGACACACAACGAGATCACTCACTTGCCAATGTCGCTGATGCGTCTGAAGGATCTGAAGCAGTTGGAATTGGCGGGAAATCGCATCAACTGCACGTGTGAGACGCTGCAGGTGCGGAATTGGCTCCAGGCGCGTCACGTGTGGACGGATCAGCTGGTGAAGTGCCACTCTCCGCTGCGCTTCAAGGGGAAGTCGTGGCTGCAAGTGAGACAGGCGGATATCTGCGAGGATGACAGGGAGAGGAATATCTGGGGAGACGCCATGGATGGCGACAATGAGCTGATGATGGGAGACGCTCCTGTGTCGAGTGGAGATGATGGAGATGAGCAGGACAATATTGAGCAAGATTATCTTCCCTATGATCACGCGAAGCCGTCAGAAGACGAAGACGATGCAGGATCCGGAGATGATGTGCATGTGGAGATGTCTGTTGAAGGATCTGGCGTCGGTGGTCGATTGCTGGGTGTGGATGAGGCGTCGGAGTCTCCTGAGGATGAGGACGATGAGAATTACGATGACGGATCTGGCAGTGGAGCAATCGCTCTGCCGCCGATAATTTCTGCTCATGATGGAATTATTGATGATATCTTTGACTCGGCAGAAGATGATGATCACGCGCCACCAATTCAGGAACCCGATGAAGAAGTGACTAGACCTACAATCCCTGATCTGGGGATCTTCGCGGGCAGCAATGTGCCCAAGCCGGATGAAGTGACGCCGGCCAATGATGTTGTGCCTCCGCCAGACAAGGCGTCAGATGTTGAAGCTCTGCCACCGAGTGACGTGAAGCCGAGTGTGGCGTCAGACAGTGAGGATTTGATTGCGCCTTCGAAGGCTGCGGGTCCAACGGGTCCAGATGTGAGGATCTCGGAGCAAACGCCTGAACAGGCGGAAGAGAACAGAGCGACGTTCATTCTCTTGGTGGTTGTGGGAGTGGCTCTGGTCGGACTTGTGGCCTTTATCATTGTCCAGAGGAAGAAGAAGCGCAGCCGACGCAACCGAGCCGATGCCGAGAATCCTCGTGGTGAGGAATTGCTGGAGATGGATAAGAAACTCTTGGGGAAACCCGTGCAGAAGAATGGCAATCCCGAGAGTGCTCCGCTGATGCCCAACAGAGACAAATCTGACTACGCTCGGCCGATCAATGGGGACAAGGTGGACACTGCAGCGCCTCTTGACACCTACCAGAGGCCACCGTCGCCGAAGAAGGTGGAGGAACCCGTGCAGAAGAGGGAAAATGTGCCCAACGCTCAAACTCCTTCGGCTCCTCCGACTGAGGAGGAGGAGAAGAATCCCAGGAGGAGTCTCTACGATAACGACGGTTCTCCCGGACTGAATAATAACGACACCGCTGCCAGAGATCACAACGAACAGCCACTGACCAACGGCTTGGATCACGCGGCGCCGCATCTGCACAACGGAGAGCCGGCTGAGGTGCACGACAGCCCAGAGCCAGATGTCAACAAGTACGTGCCCAAGAGTCCGGCGCTGGCGAGGTACAGTCCAGTGTACTCGCCGGAGACGGGCAGGGTGAAGATCAAGCTCACGGAGACGCCGAAGCCGAAAACCCCAATGCTGGTCACACGGAGTCGCTCCAACGCGGGCGACATCATCACGACGCCCTACACCAGCCCAATTCGCGGCCAGCAATAGTCCGAGCCCAAGGCGCGAGCATGTTCAATAGTCAGGGGGCGGCCAGGGTCCGTTCAAATTGAGCGGCCGCGTCCCAGCGTGTTTCCGTGTTCAAATGAGGACCTCTTTTGTGAGTGAGCGCGTGCCAAAATGCCCAAGAAAAAGATCAATTCCCGCATTCAGAGTTACACAACATAATAAAAGCTGATCAAAGAGTGATATTTAGGTAAATTATGCATCATCTTCTACAAACGCATCATTTTTCCAAAAGCAGAAACGATAGGAAGAGAGGAAAATCGCAGAGGAGAATTTAGGGAATTTCCACGGACCACACAAAAAGAGGGGTTTTTACTTTTTTTTAATGTAAGGAATTAAAGAAACATTGTCGGCATTGAATTGAGCAAAACTTATATACTTATAGTTTTTATGTAAATTTACAATTTAGGCATAAAAGATGAACTTTAAAAAAAAATGATCAAGTCATTTCATAAATGTTTAGGATTGATAAAGAGAAACGGAAAGGAAAAGAAAGGAAAAGGCACATAATTTGTAAATAAAACTCTTTTCCTCTGTGTGTTTGTAATAAAATTTTCACGATAAAATGGTTTAGAAAAAAGGCGTAAATGTAATTTACAATTTAAAATAGAAAATATTCTTAGCAGAGAGACAGAGAAACAATTTTTAAAAATATATATAATATATCATTTCAACGCGATAAAATGGTCTACATTTTATTTCTGTTAATTTATTGTGATTATTCTTCAAATTGTATACAAACTATTTAAAAATAAAATATCAATTTAACGTCTTACAATCGTGTGCTTCACTTCCGCATTATTACCTCTCCAGAATTCTCAACAAGATCACCAGATTATCCAGAGATTAGAATGACCTCTCGTCTTTCGCATAGGCAAGTATGAATAAATTGTAAATCACAATTTTATGCCTCATAAATCAATCTCATTTTCGGGCTTTGAGAATAATAAAGAGTTGTTTTATTGGGGAATTAATTGATGCGCGCCTAATATCTTCAAATTGCAAGGAGAATATTAATTAACTCACCCAATCAACGATGATTTACCCACTGAATCGGTTAACTAGAATTCGTTCAACTCTGCTTCGCACTTGACAGGTTTCTCAGCGGAGACACAAAATTCAAATTCAAACAGAGACGCATTCGGGGTAATTCTGTCTTGCAACGCGTATTTATTTCTATCTCAAGTGCTTACAAGTGTTTAATAAATTATATAAAATGGATTTAGATTTAAGAGACTAGAACAAATTTTATTTAAAAAACACTCAATTTCTAGGGGGAAAGAAAGCACAAAGAAATGTAACTGCCAACTGAAAAACACAACAAATAGTATGATGGATGAAATTGGAGGGCTTCGCCTGATCACAAATCACTCTCTGTGGGTCTCCTGGCCTTCTGACCCTCTGCCCTCTTGTCATCGGGCTGCACTTGCCGGTGCGTCTCCTCAATTTCCAGGGGCGAGAAGGACGAGAAGCTCTCCTCGTCGCTGCTGCGCGCCTTCTCGGCCGGAGCGAAGTAGTCATCGACCACGTGAATCTTGTCGCCAGAAGACTGGGAGGAGCTCGCCACGGGCTCCTCGTCGCCCTTGAACGTGGACATGTACTTCTGCTTCCTCTTCGCGTAAGGACTCGTGTCGTCATCCTTGTGGGTTCTCATCGTGATCCTCTCTATCTCAGCCATGCCTGAATTGCCCGGCTCGTCGTCAGGAGTCCTGGGCGCAATTTCCACAGTGGTCAAGTGCAGATTAACCACTTCGGCGGAGTGATAGTGCAACTCACTGTCCTGCGCTCGGATGACGGACACTCTTGGCGGTGTTGGTGGCGGAGGAGAAGTTGGCGGTGGCATTAATGTGTTCCTGGCCACTTCAATGCTCTCTGGCGGATTCATGGTGCTCCTCTGTCTGCGAGATCTCCGCGACTGGCCATCTTCCACTCGACTCTCGCGCATAGACAAGACTTCTTCGCTGCGACAGCGATTCCTTCTGGTTATCACGCCGTCAGCCTCATCTCCGTTTTCCTCCTTGCCAGCCAGCTTCCGGCGCTTCTCCCTCCGCATGTTGAGCTCATTCAGAGAGGCAAAAGACCCGTCAAGTCGTGGCATCAAGATGGCATCTTCATAGCATGGCGGCCGAGTCTCTCTAGGATCAGGAGCATTCAACTGAGCCTCTTGCTCCATCGCCATCCTGTTCTGTCGGATACTGAAAAGGAACCTTCTCTTAGAACATCGCCCGCTTTCACACTCAACAATCATGCTTACATATCCCTGTGATGTTCCAGGAATTCATCCCTTTCTCTCTCTCTCGCCGTCAACTTTCTCCCCTCGATGCATCTCTTCACACTCATCACAATGCACACGCTGGCTGCGAAGAGAATAATCGTCACCATTACGATTGTCCAGATCTTCTCAGCGGTCCCGATGCCCGATCCATTGGGGAACCAAATGTGAAAACAAGCCACATCCCAAGGAATCCCATAGAGATCGTCAGGACTGTTGCAGCGCAGGTGATTTTTGTCCCAAATCTGGAAAGGAATTTTCTCTGTCATTTCAAAATACCCGGAAATTTCTAGATCGCATACTTTCGATGGCGGTTCCACCAGGAAATTGAAAAACTTTTGAAATTCATAATTCCTACAGTCACAGCGCCAGGGATTGTCTCCCAATCCGATCTCCTGAAGATAGAGCAGATCTGAGAAGAAATCCACTCTGAAAGGTGTCGTGAAACGGTTTCCCGACAAATTGATTCGACTCAAGTCAGGAAAATCTGAGAATGTCGTATTCCTAATTGATGTGATCCTGGAAAATAAATTCGTCATTGTCAGAACCTAGACTATGTGTTAAGATTCGCACCTGCACATGCTCAAATCAAGCGTCTGCAGACTGACTGAATTCAGACTGTCCGGAATGGATGCAATAAGATTGTTGGAGAGATCAAGTTCAGTGAGATACGGAGTTCCTTGCAGAGCGTCCGGATCAATTGACACAATTTCACACCAACTCATGTTGAGACTGTTGAGAGCCTTGGCTTGGATCCTATTGAATCTCCCGATGTAGTTTCGACTCACGTTGATGGTCGTCAAGAGGTTGTTGTGCTTGAAAGTGTCCCTCTCGATCCTCGGAATCATGTTGAAGGACATGTCCAGATGCTTCAGATTGCCCAAGTGCTTAAAAGTGTACGGATTGACGTAGCTGATGGCGTTGAAGGAGATGTCCAGGTTCTCTAGGTGCACGTTGTGCTCGAAGGTTCCGTTGGTGAGTTGTCTTATCATGTTGCCTCGCAAGACTGCAGTCGTGAGTTGCGTAAAACCTCCTATTTCTATTCCTCCCATATTGCAGTAGGACAAGTCCACCCTCTTCACGGACTCTGATGACACATACTCGCCGCTCTTTGACAAGAGGGACAGGCGATTGTTCCGCGCCAGGCTCACGTGAACCAGCGCCGGAAGATGAGCAAAAACATCGATTGGCAGGGAACCTAGTCGACAGTTAACCAAGTTGAGGGTTTGTAAGCTCTCTGAACTCACAACTGAGAGCGTCCTGAGCGGATTCCCGGCCATGTTCAAGTGCTCAATCTTCGGCAATCCCTTCAGCATCTGACTTCCCGCCATTCGGACGATCTTGCACTCGCTGAGGTCCAGAGTTTTTAGGGTTTTACTTATCAAAATTGCATTGTCGTCTGTGCTTGAGAAGCTTGTGATGGGATTCTTGGCTACACTGAGCATGACCAGTGGCGATGGTTGGAGAAGAGTATTGGGATTGATGTCCACCAAGTTGGAAATGTTGTTGCTTGTCAGAAGCAGCGTTTTGAGATTGTTCAGTCCACTCAGTGATGATCCTGAAAGGTGTGTTATTTTGTTCCCGGACATATCCAGTGATTCCAGTCCGGGAAACTCTTGCAGTCCAGCTGGAATCTCCGTAAATTCATTGTCTGACAAGTCCAACCAGGAGATCTCGAGATCTCCAAAGTCAGGCAACTCAGTCAGCGCCAGACCAGAGCAATCAACATTGAGGTTGATTCCGTGAAGGGCACAGTGACACTCAGTCGGGCAGATGATCATGCTGTCCACAAACGCAACCCAGAAGCTCACGGTGAGAATAAAACCACACACGGCTGAATTCATTGTTCTGCAGGAGGAGATAAAGAAAATGATAATGGCTGATCGGGCGTTGGTTGATTCAGAAGAGGGTGGAATTGATTGGAGAATCTTATATGAAATCAATTTACGACATTACTAAGAAGACACTCCCTAAATTTACAGTGAATTTAGGGCTTCACAGAGGATTTTTCTGAGCTTCTGCAAACACTATCTCGACTTCTGATGGACGTCGCAAAAATATTATCACTTTTTCTTGCGAAAAAAATGACTCACTGATAAGCTATGGTGGTGTTATTGATGAAAGTTTGTTGGTTTGGTGCTCAAACACACATTTTTCACACACTTTTCACCACGATGGTGCTGAGAAAATACATTTTAGGGGCTTTAATCATCCACAGAAGTTAATTGAGAGGCCAAATGTGAGGGAGAATCATGGAAAAGTGTCACTTCTTGGAAGGCAATCACAAGAATATTCCTCTGGGCAGCAGGTTGAAAGGCAAACTGGAGAAATAAGAGCAGAGAATTGTGCCCTATCTTCGCCATTAGATTATGGCCAAAATTATCAGTTGCTCGACTGATAAGATACGACGCGAGGCACCTTTTACGAATTAATACGGCTTTTCATGGCGCAATGCATGGTCAGCGTGCAAGTGTTGGTGAATATTTAAAATTCCACCCCGGCGACGCCTCCCGGGAGGGTCCAATGAGAGGATGAGACGCAGAAAGTTGATGGTAATTCTATGGCAACAGACCACTTGGCAACAAATATCCTTCTGGGCCGAAACTTTGGACATTGCGGTGGCTCTTGCTGAAGTTTTCACATGCTCCAGAATTTGGCAAGTTTTGAGGATCTCGTGCACAGCTTTTAATTGCCCATTAGCGCCAACTTTAAAGTCATCCTCCTGGCCAGAGTGATGCACTCGCACAGGATGGCAAGAGGGAGAGGGAAGAGAATTGATTGTAATATTGTAAATCCCTTCTGTCCTCTCGTCTCGAGAAACCCCTTTGACAATGTATAAAAGAGTCCCAATTGATCCCTGCTGAGTGGGGGTCATTTTCGAAGGATATTGAGAAGGAAAAGTCGTGCAGGTTGCCTTCTTTTCTTTATCCGATCAAGTGCATTCGCCCTCGATTTATTGACAATTTCTCAGAAGGTCATGTATGGACACAGAGGATAATAATAAATCCGATTGTCATTGAGAGATTCGCTATATTTCTGCAAGACAGTCACTATCTTTTCCTCCACCAGAGAAATCAATTTAATAATTTCATCGTGAAGGAATTCTGTGTAATGGAAAATTACTGAAAACCGTGGAGGAATTTCCCGCAATAAGCAACATTTTTCACCTTCTGTGATTTGTGGCAATAAAGTTGGAGAATTTCAATTTTGGCATTCCTCACGAGATTATGAGTTGGGAAATATTCCAGAATTGTGCTAACTCTTCCCTTAATTGGCAGCGTGCGAATTGTGAAAATTAATTGCAATGCCATTACATTCAATAATTTTGAGGTGGAAAAGTCTTTCCCTCGTAAAATGCGGGCTCGGAGGGTGGCGAACAGAGTGGTTTTCCCACTTCTCGCCGGATAAAGCGAGAGGGATAAATCTCTTGCGGGAATCAACAGGTAATGCGGCACATGGAGGGTGCGAGTCTCATCGCCCTACGCCGTCGCCCACACCCTCCGGAATTGTTTACACATTATATGGCGCTTACATGCGTCCACCCCCAGCGACTGGTGAGACTGAGCATCGGATGGCAACTCCCGGGCGGTCCCCGGTTGCCGGGCGCAAACACACACCCCGCTCGAAAAATCCTGGGGTGGCTTCTCGGCTCATTATTTGTGGTTGATTGCCGGCACGTATCGAAGGCGAATCAATTGAGATGTGTCGGTCCGTGCTTTGAAATTGCCGTCCTCGGAAAAGGGGTTCGTCGGCGCGTGTGTGTGTGTGTGTGCTTTGGGTAAATGGAAAATATACATCTCATTAGATAATGATTTACTCAGGATCTCTCTCACCCTGACAAGGGTGGATTTTCGTCAGTCGCCAAACTATCGGCCTTGCCAATGTCATTTCTAAATAATTACTTAATTAAGGGTGAAATCAATTAGCAAGACGACCAGAATGTGGCTTCTGATGTTTGCTCTTTTGTCGCCAGCCTTTTGAGGGTTGACGATGAAATGCCATATCAATTCTTTTCATGCCCTCTCGCTGTGATATTATCCATCTAACTAAATAGACAGGAGTTGATTTGCTCTTCCCGCATTCATTCAGTGATAGAAAACTTCACCAGCCTAAGCTTGCATTGCTACAACAACCCCAATTTCTCCTGTAATCATACTTGCAATTATTAAAATAAGAAACTATATGGAAGCATGCCTTTGTTCCTGTAAACTCCCTCAAGTGAACCAGGCAATCTTATGGCTCACATAACGAGATTTCCCAACATAAATTCTCCCGGTGTATTCTGTCTATGCAATATTAAACTGGACGTGGTGTCTTACGGCGTTCCTCCTCCGGAATTCCCTCCTCCAGTGGCAAGGATGTGTGCGCCTGCGACGTAATGTAGGACTTAGCAGACTTCTTTAATTATTATTTATAGTTGAGCGTAATTAAGAAGAATTATACGTAATAGATTAATTTATTGGCGCGCTTCGCCATTTAACCCCACCCATTTACGCAATCTACCCAATATCCATACACGCCAATTCACCGTTGGAAGATAAATACCTGCCTTGGCAAATACGCCCGAGTGCGTCTCATGGATTTACCATGATTTATTCCACTTGCCGAGAATGCTTAAGACGCCTCTCCGCTGGGGCTTGACAAAATTTCCCTCCACAGCGACAGCATGTGGGCCGTGGAGCTCTCTCTAATGAGCATCTGCGGAATCCCGGATGCCCCTGATACCCCTGATGTGCTGCCGGGCGCGAGAATAAAGGCGCCCATTCCGGAAACAGACGCTCGCGCCTGTAATCTTCAAATGTGAGACATTTCTGCTGTCGCGGCTTCTTTTTTATTATTGTTGCCACACACACAACACTTTTGTGTGCAATGATGCCAGAAAGAGTCTCTCATTACCTGATAAAGCCTCATCGCGCCGAGCCATTATCGCGGGGTGGGGGGGAATATTAAGGGAATACTCCTTGGCATGGGAGGATTGTCCCTCATTGAATTGACGAGCGCCAGAAAATATCTTATCGATACGCCATTTGAAACGGATTCTTTTAAACGGCATTCTTTTTCCTCCACAACCACCGCCAGCAAATGAGGGTGGAAATTTATGGAAAATGAAATAAAATAAATACGAGATGGCGCGAAAAAAGAGGCGATACAACCCCATTATTGTGCGAGAAATGAAATAAGATATGATTGCCGCGAGGGTGAAGAAAAAAAAACAGCTTTATCAGTGGGAACATATCAGAAAGAATTAGCATTTAGCAGAGTGTAGAAATTTATTTTAGCATCGCGACTCCTTGAGCGCATCGAGATGGAAAATTTAATTAAATTTCAATCAGCACTGGAACTGCCAGTGATTTTGGGGTGGTGCTTTTTTTCAGCGACCATTTGCACGCAATCATCATTCATCGCCCGCGACTTGCTAATGTGCTAAGACACTTTATTGCCAACGCATAAATGTGCATGAAAGATTTGAGTCTATAATTATACAGGAGTTTTTATCATCATCCCAAATCACTGAACAAACCTCACTCCGATTGAGTCTCACCTTTTTGTCCAAGTTGTATTTATTTTTGAGAAGTTAATTTCCTGTCGAGTGGAAGTTCAGCAGATGCTTCTTCCCTTCTCTCCATCGCCTAGAAGACACTTTAGTCTCCTGCCGGGCTGTGACGTACTCTCAATGCCATTCTGGGAGGAAAGAATAGATGGTGAGATGCGGGAAAGCGGAAAAAGTGCGGTTGATAGTGTGAAAATAAAATTGGAAAAGTACACAGTGTCATTTTTATCCACCTTCCTGATTCTTTTCACCGACCACACTGCAGCATTTCCTCCCAAGACACCCGCATTGTCCTGGGAAAATCTTCCTCAAGCGCGCTTCCTGAAAGCTGCCACGAGCACATCAAATGTCTGGAGAGGGAATTAATGTTTGATTTCCAAAAAAAAACATTCCAAGTGCGATTTTCACTCATAAATTAATCCAAATGCCCAGAAAATTGTCACATAAATTGCTACGACATTCAGCTTAGCTGGAGCAATTTGTGTTTATCTCGAAGACACACAATGTAGGGACACTTTAGAGAGTGTCTCAGAGGGAACACCACCCTCTGAAGGATATCTCCTTAATTTATATGGCCCTCCTATCTTCTCGCTCCTCCGCCGCCTCGCAGGAACCTTGAGATACATTCCTCAACTGGACAATACACCTAAGAAGAAAAAAAAAACGCCACATGATTCATTGGTGATATCTGGCCCATTTGCCGGTGGGAACACATTTTTATTATCAATGAGGGATGATAAAGTAGGTGAAGAGGTGGTGCAACAAAGAATTAACTTTCCTTCGCCAACCTGAGGGAAAAATAAGCATAATTTTCAGCTTAAAATTATAAATAACACACAATAAAACAATCGTAAATCACGTGAATAACCTAATCATACTTAAAACTTTGTTCTTCCCACTTTGGCGCGCGCAGAAGAAGGGAAAAGGGTGCGGAAATGAGTTGGTGAAGATGCTGGAGAAAATTTAGTGGGAGAGAAATTTCTCCCATAAACTTTATCCATTAATTAAAAATCTTCACATACATTTTCATTTCTTCAGAGAGTTTTTGCATGCCATGCAAATTTTCCAATATATCAAGCATCATCTCACCTCAGAATCAAGAAGCTCTCTTTCTCGCTCTTTTTGGTCTTTGAGATTCTCTCCCTTTGGCAATAGTTCACATTAAATCCACATGAAGATTATCTCTCAGCAAAATAATCTCGTGGCGAATGCCAGAAGAAATAAATCTTAAGCAAGTCAGAATTCCGCATTCCGTGGGAGTAAATATAATGGGAAAATTAAAACTTTCAAATCCTAAACCACCCCCGGAATCATGTCTTGAGGTGTTTGCAATAAATAATATTTTATGTCGGGTCTCAGGGGATGGAGAGTGTGGCGGCAATTCTCCGGGGAGATGAAAATTCTTAATCTCTCCTAACCCCATCCAGAGTGTGGAAGGGAAAGCGCCATCCACGGGAAAATGTGTCTTTTCCGATAAAATACGACCACGAAGCATGAATGTTATTATAAGATTTTCCATGGGGGTGACTCTGGCGCTGGCAAAGGTGTTACAAGATGCCTCTAAACACCCCTCAATATAATCCCCAATTCTTACTGCAAAACTCATTTTCTGAGCAATTTCTCACCATTTTTATCATGCTGGAAAATTTATAACGCGAAATTGTCTGTTGTTCACCCTTTGAAAATCACTTCTGCCCACAAGGAAAATGCTAATCCGCCCGTCACGATAATTCATCGCCGCCAAAGGCATGAATTGGGCATGAAAACACTGTTGGAAGATTGTTTGCAATTCCACCCCTTCTTTATAGAGAAACTCAAGAACAAACTTAGCTGATTTTCTTTCTTGGAAATTATTGGTTAATGTTTGTAGTGCAGAGCTTAATTTTCAAACTAAATCCACGCCACTTTTACAAAACTCTATCAATTGCAAGTAATTTTGAGAATGAGTTTCTCGAGTGTTTTCGCTGAGGGCGGAAAACTGTGCTGAGATTCAGTGAATAGAATCTCCGTAATGGGTGGAAGGAGGCGCCGTACTTAGCCTAAATATTAACGACTCCGGGCGAAGGGGAAAAAGAGGTGAAATATACATATAAGCATGATAATAATAATTCAACTAATACGAATTGATTTATATGCCTCACTGTGATATTTAGGAGACTATCAAGGAGTGAGAGAAAGAGGAGATTCTTGTGTGTGTGAAGCAGGCTTCCCTCGCGCTGTGCCTGAGATTTATTTAAGATATATGAAATTGTTATATGCCGCTTCTTAATAATGTAAGAAATGGGCGAATGAGGCCAACCCCTAATGGAGGGATGACGGCGCTTGTGGGAGGGTGGAAAGGGTGTGGCCCCAAAGTATGGCCATGAGAATTAATATTTAGTGAAATTGTCCAAGATATCGTTTCGGGATTTTCAAGATGCAATTAACTTGAGGTCCTCATCTTGCGTCTTATCCCACTTAATTGTCGAATTAGTTGGTGAATTTTATCACTGCTCGACCAGACTCTGGACCCACAGCTCTGGATGGGATTTTTCCTCTCTCTCACATTGACATTAATTGAGTTATTTATGACTGTACTTTTGGCCATCATGGCGAAATCATAAATCCCACTCCCAGAGACTCAGTGGCCAGATCAAAAGAGAATCACAGTAATTGCCTTCCTTCTCTCCCGCCATTTTTCATACTTCCACCCCCAACCCCCGCAGAATTGGGGCGTGCATCCAGCAGAATTGTAAATAATTTTTATCAATCTCTTCTCTCTCTGCCAGGAAATGAAATGTGGCTTTGGCGAGAGAATGTGTGTTTAAATAAAAATCAAATTCCACATCTGCATATCTCTTTGCTCACCGCGCGCCAATGTTAGAAGAGGCGCAGCTCATGAGGGTGATTCTAGGGTACATTTTATTATCATTTATTGCGCGATAGAAGCCACTAAACAATGAAATATGGCGAGCCGGGAATAAATTTTAAACTTATTACTCTCGCAAGCTATATAAAGCATGTGAAGCTGTGGCGCCAAGAAAAATCACTCATGATTTAAAACTTTCGATTAATAACAGCCCCCGAGGCATGAGCTTTGCACACAACCACACAACATATATGAATTTTCGCTGTGCGTCTTGTTGGCAAAGTGTTATCTTGCCACATTCATATTCTCTATCAATTTTCACCATTTTTCACGCAATAATACATATAATGTGAGCGGAAAAGTTCAGTTCTGCATACTTTCTGGCAATAGAAATTCCCTCTGTTTCTTTGCACTCGGAGAAAAGCGGAGATGCTTAGGTGGGAAAATTAGTCGAAAATGCGCTTCTCCTGACTACGAGAGTGCGATTGTTGGCTTCCAACCCTCACGGGGGTGGAAAGAAATTGGATGTGGGTGAGATGCAAAGTGGGAGAGAAAGCGCCATAGAAACGAGTGCGAACTAAACAGATAAGAAACGGATGTTACGTTACTCTCGACGGCTATGTCGGAAGTGCAAGATAATTCTGTCTGATGAAGAGTGCACAGAAAATGAGATGAATGGGGAGAAGTTTGGGTGCGAGAGAAGCGAGGGAGATTTCTGTCATCAGGACTGATGTCAACTGTCTCGCCAGATTTTTCTTCCTGGGCGCGCCTCAAAGATTTGCACCACAAAATTCACTTACCTCCAGAGAGAGAGAGAGTTCCTCAATCTCAATTCGCACTCCTCCTCACCTTGTGTAGCTCACGGGAGAGCAAATCCCATGCGATTCTGGGACTGCTGGCAGAGACGCATGCACACATTTGTTTTCACGCTAAACACGCCCATACAAAAGGAGACGTGCTGGCGAGATTTATCTAAATTTGAGTATCTTGAGTAAACTCTTATTCATCTCCACTCGCATCCTATATAAATCCTCCAGAGCAGCAGCAGCGGATAAGTGTGTTTGTGTATTTAACTCGGAATCAGCAAGTATTCCGTAATTTATTTTTGCTCTCCGCTGACAATAATCCTGATTTATTATCACCGGGAAAGTACATTGAAGCGCTCTTTTAGGTATAATTCTGCGAAGGTGTCGACTCAATTTCAAAGCAGCCATTGGGAGGACAGGCGGTGTGTGACTTCAGGAAGTGAGCCAGAGGTCAATAAATGTCTCATTTTATTGATCGATAAGTTACACTGGGATTTTCTTGCAGAGCTACAAGTCTATGTACAGAAGGGAGGCGGCGAAAGATTGCCCGCCACCCTTTAACAGAAATCGACAAGAGAAATTAATAGCAATAGCCCTAAGCGATGCAGCATCTCATCCACTAAGAGTTGTATAGGTTGTTTTTTTCTTCTTCTTGAATGTTCATCTCCAGTAAAGCTTAATAAGTTAAGTGTATGTCCTTGAATTAATATTTCACTACGTAACACTAAATGCATAACGAATTTCTCCATTAATATATGGATTACCATGGCTATCAATAAGAATTACCTCCACTTTTATCGCTCAATTTTACTCTCTCTCTCTCACTCTCTCCCTCTCACTAAACTACCATCTTTGGTATCTTTTTATCATCAAATTGATAGTTGTGTCTCTACTCTAGTAATTTTTCTCCTACTCATACTTGATAATTAACTGCGGATTGTACATGATTAATTTCAATAAGTTTTTTCCTCTTACTCCAAGATGTCCAACATCTCCACTTTTACTCACCATTGAAAAGATATTTTGAGACAAAACATTCGCGGGATTAAGTATGTTATCTACTTGTCTTCTATATTGCTAGTTACTCATCCATCCGGAGTGGCTGGAATGCTGGGTGATCTTAGTTCAAATCGCGATCACTGTGTGGATACAATGCGCTCATCTTGCGCTCCTCCAGCTCCTGCTGGAACGTCGATCCCAGGCCCGAGAGCTGGGCAGTGTCGTAGAGGGACATCTTGAGGCGTTTGCACTTGGCCCGCCGGTTCTTGAACCAGAACTGGACATTCTTGCTCTCGAGACGTGGGAACTTTTGCCTGCAAAACAATCGCAATCGTAAAACACATTATTTTCACCGCGCCAAACCCGATCAACTCAGCTAAATCCCGATCGACGTTAAGAGTAAGTGGAAGAGTTTGAACCTACCTGTAAGGCATGCGGTTGAGATCTTCCGTATACTTGAGGATCAGATTGTGTGACGGATGAGTATTCATGGCGAACCACTGTTCCAACTTCGGCACCTCCGTGACCGGGTCGATGAAGGTGCGATTGCGCTTGCGGCGCTCGTCGCTGGACAGGCTGGAGAGGTTGAGTCCGCCCTGGGTCAGGGCGCTGGGACTCAGGCTCTGCTGCTGCGGGTGGTGGGGATTCTGCCCCATGGCCGTAGGGATGTAGTGACTCATGTACATTATCGAGTGGGAGAACATCGAGTTGGGCACCATGGGAAAGGGCAGCTCCCGCCGGGAGTCCGGCGACGGGGACCTGAAGTCCTCCATGGGGTTCACGTCGGAGTCCTCCATGTCGAGATCCTCGGACTTGGGTGAGGTTTTTGGGGAGTCACTGCGGGAGTCTTGGATGTGGTTGCTATTGTGATTGGCAGAAGCCTCTGAGTTCTGCTCAGAGCTGCCGTTCTGAGTCTTGGCCGGGCTGTCGCGATCGCGCTCCACCTTCACCGCGGACTCGCGCTCTTCGCTGTGCGGCGAACGATTCCGCTCATGAGTGGTCAGGGACAGGGGCAACTGTGGGCAACAGAGGGACGGAGGTCAGTAGCTGAAAATGCAAGATTCCGGAAAGCGACGTACCTGAGGCGACGGCGCCCTATCGAGATCATCATCGAGGTCGTCAGAGTGTTGGGAGAGATTATCGATATCTTCAGATGGGATGCTGTGAGGACTCTTCATGTATCCTTGTGACATCATGAGACCGGGATTGCCACTGAATCCATTGCTCATGGTCTGACCTCGCAGTTCGGCTCTCTTCTGAGCCGCCCTGGCGTTCTTGAACCAATATACCACGTTGTTCACATCCAGAGGCTTCCGGCCTCGCCGTGACTCGAGGGAGTTCAGCTGGATCACGTACGACTGGATTTGCTGGCGGGATGGATGGGGATTCTCCTGGAACCAGCGCTGCAGCTTCGGCAGCTCCATCTCAGGATCGAAGCTCGTTCGCATGCGAGTCTTCTGGCTTGGATACTGCGAGTGAACAGTTTGCAGAGCCGGATGGACAATCATGTTGTGGTGGGACTGATGGTGATTTTCCAGCAGAACATCGTGGCCGGCATGCAGATGTTCGGCCGTCTTCGTGAAGTCCAGACTGGCCGTCGGTGGATTGACGAAGGGCAGTAGTTTGGGAGCCAGAGGATTGCTCTGCGGGGATAATTGACTGGACCACCAGGCGTCGAACTTGCGCCGAATATCATCGGCCGCCTCCACGGTGAACGGGAAGGGACTCTGCATGGCATTTGAGCGGCAGAGTTGGGACAGAGTTATCTGTAAGTTGGGAGTTTCTTGTCAATTAGTGCGGAAAAGCACTCCTCATTGCCACAGTTCTATGAATAAACATCGCGGGAGATTAATATTAATTTGCCTATATGGAAAATTCACCCTTTCCCACGCATGCTGATTATCCTGATCCGATTAATTATACATAAAGTGATATTAGTTTTATCGGGGAAGAGTGCGGGAAGGGGTGTCTCTCGTAGTGAAGAAGAATGTCTCATGTGTCTCTATATCTTTGATCTCTAATTTATTCCCCAAGCAAGTAATCTTATTAGTCCCCGGGTGAATATAAAGTATTTAACACTGTGTCTCCTGAGCAAAGTGTTATTCAATTTTGTACTCCGCGTATCGCATGAGCCTGAGGAAAATCCCAATCTTTCCAAGAGATACCATGTCACGGGTGTGGGGAGTTTGAGGGAAAGCTCAATGATGGTCGGCAGCGTGGAAAACATGTTTCAAAGTGTTTATACAACTTCCTCCACGCCGGCAAATCCTCACACTCCTCTCAGTCACTCGCCTAAGTACAATGTTAATGATTGCGGATTAAGAGGAGAGATTTAGTGCCGGAATTAATTAGATTCCGAAGAAATTTTAAAATAACGTCAATATTTATCTTTCCTTACAATTGTCGACCCTCGACAGCGCGAGTTCACGGCGTAGATTAAACGAGAGCGCGGGATTAGCATTGCTAAAATGCTGTGTGTCAGATCAAAGGTCAGCGACACTCACCTCGTCCAGAGGGCAGCCGGAGGAGCGCAGGATGGCGTGCGACTGCAGGATGAGGAGTCTCAGGAGTTTATCCTTGATCTCAGACAGTGTTGACGGCTTCGTGCGGAGAATCACAATCCGCAGCGTGATCACAGATGTCAACTCACCCAGGACATCGCCAACAGTCACGAGCGGACTGTCGCAGATCTTCTCCAGCGCCAGTGGCTTCCAGTTCTTGATCACGATGCTGCCGCGAGCCGTCTGGCTGGTCTCTGGCGAGTAGCCCAGCCGCTGCAGGGCTGTGTTCACGATGTTGCAGAACTGCGTCACGGCGGGCACGATCACGTAGCTGTCCATCTCAATGTTGGACCTCCTCTTCCACGGCCCGCGGGCATCATTGCTGAGGGACGCTTGCAGGGAAGTCACGGACTCCACGATGCAGTGGAGAGGCAAGGATTTCGCTGAGGGGGAGGAGATAAGAAATTGTCGTCACTTCCAGTGTCCGAGTCTTAAAGTCTAAATCTCTCTCTGCTAAGAATTACAAAACGTCTTCAGACCAAATCAAGAGAGTGTCTCTGCAGTAAAAGCCACTGAATATTTATTAGGGGATAGAGAGTAAGCTAATTTTTTCCATTAATCAGAGCTCAAAAGAGCGCTTCGGTGAATTTGCACACACACACACCATTCGAATATTCGACAGTGCGAGAGGTACTGAAATGCAGGAAAGGTCTTAAGAATACCCCCACAATGGGATTACGTCGATGTCGTGGAAGTTTTGTGTGAAAAATCATTAAGTATTTTGCATGAATCAAAGCTCCGCTCCCCAATAGTGGAGAGCATCTAATGATGGATGGAAATAATTAATCAGACGAACAAAATGCAGCGGGGATTATTAATTCCTTTGTGAATGTATTAGCACGGGGGGTTGCTAATGCCCTCAATATATAGCAGAGCAAACTGAGTATATTTTCCTGCTATGCGCCATTTAAATAAATCTCAATGCCTTTTTGATATGCACACACAAGGAGCTGAGCGAAACACCTGCGAGGAGTGTGAGACACGAAAGTATCTTCCTCCCTTCGGCGACAAATCTCTTAAAATGAGAGGCAAAAAGGGGGGAGAATGTGACACTGAGAAATAGTTTATTTCCCTCCTTCAAAATTGAGACAAATCCTATCAGCAACTCCCCAACTATCACCACTGATGCTTGGGATTTTTCTTAGAAGGGGATGCGATGTTCTCAGAGACATTAAAGCTCATTACAATGTCTGCGTTGGAAATTTTGCCAACAATATTCTCTGAAATTGATAAAAGACTCATGTGTGTTGTGTGCACGCCACAAAGGTGAAAATCTTATAGGTAGAAGCAGCAAAATTCCCATGAGGAGAAAACGGAAAGAAAGTTGAGAATTTAATTAACATCTCGTCAGTTTGCTGCTGTATTATTTACCCGACAATAAAACACAAACTGTTGGTGGAGTTTATCAAGTCCGCACAGGGGATAAAAGACATCGTGGGTGTGGGTGAGGAAAGTTGTGGTGGTGTCAGTGAATATTTTGTGCAAATATAATCCCCAATGTTAACTCGATAATACCCTTTTAGCTTCAAGTACCTTTGTCCAGTTAAACCTCCATAAATGAAATCTACCTTATGCCTCCACTGAGTTTTGAATATTTAACCGAAGATTTGACCATTCTGACCAGGAATTAGTTGGCCCCACTGGAATCCATTCTATCTGGAACTTGATTCGCTGGAAAATATCAAATTACACGGCAATGGAGATGCCTTTGGGCGGATGCTGAGGGGGTGGGTGGTGGTCGCCACCCCACCGGCAGACAATGTGTGGAAATGTGTCCCCTTTTTGGGGTTTGGGGGGTGGCGAGTTTCTCTGCTGGACCACTTCAGGGTGACATTAAGTAGAGAACGGTCAGTTAGCTTTCGGACTTATCCACATAGATTTAGAGAAAATCTGCTTCGAAAACTATTTTAGATGCAAGAAGGGATATGCCGAGCTACCTTTTCCATCCCCCACACAACCCCACTGATAAATCCCTCGGCCACCCTCTCGCCCACACCCCGGGACACACTCACTTGCCGGACAGAGGCTCTAAACTGTGCAGGAAGACTGTGGGATGGATTGTATGAAAATTAATTTTCCGAAACTGTTCATTCATGAATAATATCATCTTAATACCACACACACACAACCCCAATTGTAGGCACAATTGCCGAAAATTGTGAAGGTGGAAAGGTGGCACACGAGCTTGAGATTTTCCATCCACTCCCACAATTGAGTACCTTTCATCATTGCCATGTAATCATCAATGAGGTGGATGAAGATGAGACATGCAGAAATGCGAAGGCAGCGTTTCGAGAGGAGAAGAATTATGGGAGTGGATGTATTTTCGCACCAAGAGGAGAGAGCATGAGGAAAGCTTTTACAGATCCCATACACCCCCCTGTGGGCGGGGGAGGGGATTTTGTCAAACATTATGATGACGACAATTTTCTTCTGTGTTGCAGAAAATAAACAAGAAAGGCGATGGCGTCAGAAAATCGCATGACACCTGTCTAGAGTCATGATTGGTGGATTTTCCACTCCATCAAATTCACTCTTGACTCCATGCCCTCCCTTAAAAGCTCCTTCGCGACAAGTCACATCCACCCCGACACCCGGAAAATCAACAGGATTCACCGCAAAAGCCGGGCGCGGGTGAGGAAAAAAAGACATCATGCAAGAATGAACTTTTCACCTATTTAAAATCAAAAACCCACTCTCTGTCGACTGAGAGCTTTCATCTTATCAATAATCCCCAACCCAGCCATCGAGGCCAAATTGCTGGTAATTACGGCATTCGGAATCCACGTGCGTGAAGAAGGGGATTTGGCAAACTAGGAGGCGCGCAGTCTTTGGGAATATTTTCCCCGGAGAGAAAACCGCGCAATTGAATAATCCCCATCCTTTCGCATCATTCAACCCATCGCTTTGGCGTCACTTTAATCATTCGCCCAAGTGATGGAGGGTGCACAAGAGGCAAGATTTGCCAGAGAATTAAAACTTTGAACCAACAGGATTTAAGCTTGCAACCAAGTTCACCAGCGATGAAAGTGTTACGATGAATACTTAACGCCGCTGCCTGAAGAATATTGGGCGAGATGGCGAAGGAAGACAGTGCCAGGGGGTTGAATATAATCGTTTGGATTTGGGAGAGAAAGAAAAATTAAGTGAGAATTTTAGCGATGAATATAAAAATTCCAATAAATCATCTTGATTGCACAGAGAAGGGGTTGTGCGAGTGTTATGGAAATTTTCGGCGCATTTCACTCTCTCTATCCACTTGAAAAATGAAGTTGAATCCAAACGGAGAATCGCCGTGTTGGGGTGGCAAAGAAATAACCCCTTTTCCTCTCTGTTATTCCAGCAACTGAAATCTTAATCCCTTATTTCCACCCTATCTCGAATTATTCCCTCCGCATGGCGATTATACAGTTGAGTAGAAGGAGAATTTGAGATTTCGAGGGCACGTTTTATACTCCTCCTTATAGGATCAATAAAAATGAAGGGGAGAGAAAGAGTTTAGCACCGCATTTTACCAAATCACCTTGGCAAAGACTGTCATCTTTGCAATCATGCCCTCGGGCGGTAGAGAAAGCCGGTAGAGAATCAGGACGTAATCTGCAGAAATTTTCTACCATCTTCCGGCTGCTGTAGGGGAGCGAAGCGAATGTTTAAAGACATTTAGCAAACACTTAAATTGAGACGAATGCCGCAATTTTGCAAATAAAGAACGTAGTTCACAATTTACTTTTAAAATATAGAAGAGAAATGTTCTAGAGTTATAAAAGCTGAGGTAAGAACGACTTCATTCTCTACTCAATGCTCATGCAAAGTTGACGCAATTTCGATGCTCTCCGCTATTCACCATATCGTCATCAATCCACCCTGAGCGCGCCGGAAACCCTTTCACTCACCAAGTCTTCCCCATAGCTATGTATTGTGTTCCGGTTTTATGTCTCACAAATCCGGCGTGCGGAGTGAGAGGGAAGATGAGGTTTTGTGCTGGAGAAAAAACACACTCAAAGAGAGATCCCTCCAATGCTGCATCCCTCGATCTCGATGAGGGATGAAAGATTGCCAACTCTTGAGTGGCGCGGGGTTCAAGTCGGGTCTCTGCCGGATTAACGAAATGCTTCAACTGTCGCGGCTTCCATTCTCTTATGCGCTATAGCCTCTTTGTCTGAATGGATTTGTGTGGCGGATGAAAGGGGTGACCCACACCCCATTCGCCATCAGGCATCTTCTCTTTCAATTCCGATACGGCATCGAGGAGCGAGAGACGCGCCTCAAGTATGAGGAGTTCGGAAAAAATGAACGGTTGCACGACTCGAGGGTTCCCGCAGTGAAAGTTGCCTTAATCTCTAAATCAATATTTGCAATTTTAGAATCCGCCATTGACGATGATTTTAGTGACTGGGCGGAAGGAGAGTGGCCCGGAAAGCCCCTCTGAGCGTGAAATGTGAGACAATGTTGATTGGGAAAACAGGAGAGCGCATTTGCACATATTTCTCACATTCATCACGCGGAGTTAATCTGTTGCTTTCGTGACGGCTAATCTTGAGATTCCTTTTTAGTGCGAAATCTAACCGACAAAAACCCCATCAAGCCCTAAGCCGGATTTAAAATAACATCCGAAAGCTTATACACCGCCCCAGAGGAGCGGAGCAACAGCTCCACAAGCGATTCAACCACCCCCAAAACACAATGTTTCTCCCCGAACGGCATTTCCCCAATGTGGGCGGCTTTCTCCCCCCGAGATTCTGGTGGATTGGGGGGAGAGAGTAGATGGGAAACATACCCATGACTTTATTTAATTAACCATTTGCTTTATGGTGGATTTAACTGTGTGAATCGGAGAGATGAGAGACTCTCTGTGCGAGGAGGGCAAAAAAGGCCACACTTTCTTTTGAGATGTAAATAATTGGGTGGAAGAAAAAATGCGGAGACTAAGGAAATCCTTGGCGCACCATCAAAATTCGGGGGCCAGCAATTTTCTGCCACTAGACGAGCTTAGGAAATTTTACTAACCCCACAATTGCCACCCCTCTCTCGAGAAAGTCTGGGACATGATATAAAGGGCACGTCTGTGGGTGGAAGAGCAAGCATAGAGAGTCTTATACTAATTAGAATGGATAAGCCGCTTCGACTTAAGGATCTTTCCACTCTCTATCTTGCCTTCACTCTCTGTCCCATCCTTACGTGGAATTCCTTGCCAGCTCGCCTGTGAAGGATCTCTGCGCCGCAACAGCACTGAGCTTCCCAAACCCACCCTCAATACACTATCATCATCATCAGCCTCATCCGTGCGATTTGGGATGATGGAGTGAAGGGCCAAGGATATTAAATACACTGTATTTCTACACACAATCTTTGCCTGTCGCAGTCAAAACTCAAGCTCAAAGAC